CCCTTACTTCCGGTGTCCACCACCGGGTTCGGGGATTGCCACCACGACAGGCACCGGAGACCTTACGGCCACAGCTCCGAATGGCCGCATCGACAATGGAGGTGGAGAATATGGTCCACTCGGACTCAGTATCTCCAGCCTCCCCTGGGATCTGGTCAAAGCTCTGCCGGAGGCGGGAGTTGAAGATCTCTCTGACAGGGGATTCTGCTAAACGTTCCCAACAGACCCTCACAATACGTTTGGGTCTGCCGAGTCTGTCCAGCTTCCTCCCCCGCCATCGGATCCAGCTCACCACCAGGTGGTGATCAGTTGACAGCTCCGCCCTCTCTTCACTCGAGTGTCCAAGACATACGGCTGGAGGTCAGATGAAACAACCACAAAGTCGATCATCGACCTCCGGCCTAGGGTGTCCTGGTTCCATGTGCACTGATGGACACCCTTATGCTTGAACATGGTGTTCATTATGGACAAACTGTGACTAGCACAGAAGTCCAATAACAAAACACCACTCGGGTTCAGATCGGGGGGGCCGTTCCTCCCAATCACGCCCCTCCAGGTGTCGCTGTCGCTGCCCACGTGGGCGTTGAAGTCCCCCAGTAGAACAACAGAGTCCCCAGTCGGGGCCTTTTCCAGCACCCCTCCCAGGGACTCCAAGAAGGCCGGGTACTCCACACTGCCATTCGGCCCGTAGGCACAAATGGCAGTGAGAGACCTATCCCCGACCCGAAGGCGCAGGGAAGCGACCCTCTCATTCACCGGGGTAAACTCCAACACATGGCGGCTAAGCTGGGGAGCTATGAGCAAGCCCACACCAGCCCGCCGCCTCTCACCGCGGGCAACTCCAGAGTAGTAGAGAGTCCAGCCTCTCTCGAGGAGTAAGGTTCCTGCACGTTCTTCTCAAATCAAAATATTCACTATAATCAAAGCAGAATTAACCTGTTTGTTATTGTCGTCTTTCCCAAAATAGATTTTCACATGCTTAAGGGTTCAGTTAGGACTAAAGGAGCATTTTTCTCCTGAAATTACAAATAATTCAAGTAATTCACCTGAAATTTACTGAATAACAAAGAGGGCTTCTTCAAAGCTTTAAAATAAATGAAATCAGACAGATAGTGTTTGTTTGCAATGAATAAGCTATGTTCGGTCAGATTTAAAAACTTGTAGTTACGAAACAATTAAAAATTGATTTGAGTTGTTTAAAGAAATATGTTCGTGTATTACTTTGGTGATGGCTAGTGTTGTGGAAATACTGTATCAAATAATAAAGGCAAGAACACAAGATCTGCCTTTTGTGGTGATTTAATTGCAAAGTTTTGAAAAGGGCTTTAAGAATATAGATATCAAAAATGTCTCCAGCAGAAAAGGCACAGTATCACATGAGTGCTCATTCTTTATAACTTTGTTATCGTAGTATGGAGATGTATCAAAACATTAAACGTCCTTGCAGACAGAACACCATGCCTTGCATCCTCTCTATCATACTCAGATTGCAAAGCACGGACCGTCTCCAGTGTCTTACACCTGGAAGGTCAATATAAACTCTGGTGTAGAAGGTTTAACAATAGTTGAACCAATATAAAACATACAAAGCTTCTTTCAAATAACATTGCACTTCATTCATAATTAAATTCATATAATTTCCACCACACTAGCCAACAGAGTCTTGTGAAAAAGCTTTGTTGACACACTGTGGTGCTTCCAGTAATGAATAACTTGCAAAATATTCTGGGAAAGGATTTCAAGTTCTCTTTGAAGTTGTGGTGATGACCATGGAAAAAAATTTTTAAATTGACATGACAATTTTGAGGCTAATGCAACTTTGATCAGTGCCAGTTCAGATGACTTCAAAGATGCATTTATTCAACAGATATTGGCTGTGATGATATAAACCTTCTGGGCTTATGTGTCCCAGTTCTCATTTTGTGAGGTTGAAGCAAACCTGGGTTATCGGATGCCTGAATATGCCCAATATACTGAGCTACACACACTGGAGTTGCATGCTGTAGGTTTGTTAGTTGAATGACTTTCACAGGATTTGAACACACGGTCTTGTCATTTGCTTTTTGCAGCTAACACTGCCAAAGTCTTCATTGACGTCAGTGATGAGAATGACCACCCTCCCGTCTTCTCCAGGCAGCTCTATATAGGTGGCGTGACAGAGGACACCAAGATCTTCACCTCTGTGCTTAAGATAGTGGTAAGGAGACATCAGCTGGTGCTTTTGTTTTTGCTGGGGGGTTTTTTGCACAGCATACACAAACATGGCCTGCAGCCATGGTGGGAGAATTCATCCCATCCGCTCTCTGCAGCACAGTTTCATCCACCCCTATCGCTCACTACATCTTTTCCACAGTTTTGCTCTTCCTACTGTTTTCCTTGCCCATGAGCAGGTAGGATCAAAGTGAGCTGAGAGGTGTAATCCCAGCATGTTCACAGAAGCATGGCTGGACATCCTATCTGATTATCAGCCTGCTCTGCCAAGCAGGTTTCACTGTGACTTCAGTACACTGTAAATGCAGGGGTGGGTGTATACTTACAGTAGGCTTGACTTTCCCACCACAGTAATGGCGGCTGCACTAGATATACAGTACTGTATATCTGTAAGCAGATAGAAAATGGAAGATGGAAAAATCAATAATTTCACAGAAGAATCAGGTGTTTTTCAGTTCTTTTTATTATCTGTAGCATGAAGTGTAGTGTAGGCTTGACCGAGTCTAAGCTGCATCGTTGACATGATGCTAGAAACAAAAAAATGTTCCAGTGGAAATAAATGGATACAGTACTGTTTATCCCTCATCTGCTTATTTCTCTCATTAATTTGCCTGTTTGGGTCAAGACTTTTACACTGGGTAAAACATCTGTCCTTGAGTTACATTAGTCACAAAATAGTTATAGTTTTACTGTTATGAGTTTTACTAACACTTTTTCCAGTATTATGGAGGTACATTTTGAGAAACAGACAGTTTAAATTGAACTGCGACTGAGTCAGAAACATGGGAGCTATGTGCAGTAAAATGAACTGGACACAGGCCAGAGGTGTCTGGAAGATATTTAAGAAAAGAAATGTGTAATGTTTCTCAGGCAAGTTGAGGAGTACACAGGTCATGAAGGACTGTTCATAAGAAGTATGTCAGGCTTTTCAGCAGATGTGAAAATCAGCCAAAATCATCATATAATACACAGGAGGAAGTTGAGAGGCGAGAGGTTTCTTGCTGACTTAAAGTAAAACGACAGGAATACCAGGGGCAGCCAAGTATTATGTTAGTTTTATTGATGGTTTCAGATAAAACTCTGGGGGTGTTTTTACTGCAGGAAATGAGCTTACCCTTAATCTTTGTGTTATAACTTTAAAAAAATGCTTTTTTTTTCTTTTTATTAGAAAACAAACATGCCTTAAGCATTTGGTAAAGCTCAGTGAATCATTCTTCACTGCATTTGACAACTTTAAACATGGGGCTAGTATATATTTACAACTCAGATGAAAAGAAGCAGACATAGATGATGTTCTTTAACACCTTACAGTAATATTCTGCAGGTCAAAAAGGTTAGTGTAGGCATTATTTGAACTTTAACTTAAGTATATTAAATTGAAATGTAAGACAAACTATTGTTATGAATGTGCCCTGCACAGCTAGTGTTTGTCTATTTATTTTAAACCTTATTTTCTTCTTTTAGATTTGATTTGATCAGATATTGTGGGCACAGGCACCGATGTTCTTTACAAAGATTGATGATTAAGAGCTGTATCAGTCATTAAATTACTTCAAGTATGTGTCAGTTTGAAATATTTTCTTAAAAATATTGCACTTATAGTTTTATTTTACCAATTAGTGATAATATATAATTGAAATGTGTATCCCCCAAATATAAACTTGCTAGCAAAATATTTGGCAGGTCTTTTGATATGAAGACCAACATCTGAGCAAAATTTGTTAACACAAAAATATAAATAAGGATTTATTTTCATTAATAGAATGGCATGAATGTCTACCCAAAGCTTTTGTGTTAGATAATTTTACAAGCTAGAAATTTATGCACAGTTAATTAAACAGTAATTAGCCTGATTTTGTGAGTTTGAGGCAGGCAACAACTCGCCTCAGGTGAGGTAACATTTGAGTCTAAAAGACAAATACGTATGCACTATGTATATACAGTATATACTGTAGAATTAGGTTTTGGTTAAATTTAGGGCAAGGAACTAAGGAATGCATCACTGAGTGTCCTTAAAAAGATTGCTGTACAAACAGAAGCCTGCACAGGAATGAAGTTATTGTAGTTTGGAGTTAAATTTTATAAAGCAAAATCACCTTTTCTGGTAATCATGAATGAGGGAGCTGTGAAAATAATGAGTAATTAACCCCGCTGATCGCCCAAGTCCTCCAGATATTTAGAGAATGTAAGCGGCATGTCCGACTTGAACACTGTTGAGGTCCTAAAGTGATACACGTGTGCAGATTAACTGAAATAACAGCAATGTCATCATTTGTGTGACAGTCAAATACTTTTCTGTTTAATGTGGTACTGAATTGTTTTTACCTTTCTTCTTGTAAAATATTTGTAACAATGTTTTGAAAGCTGCTGTATTGTACCTTTTAAGTGTATTGTTCTTTTAAGAGCAACAAGGAAATGGCTTAAACTTTCAATGCACTAGTTTATTCTTTTGTGTTTTTGAGACATTTTTATTGTAAACTAATTCCCTTGCTGTCTTGTGGCAGCTTTCAAATAAACCTCACCCAGTGACAGTTTTCCTGCAGTGTCCATAATTTTTAAATGCTTTACCCTACCCAAAGATGCCAGTCCATATATTTTGTAATATTGTCTAAATCAAATTTTCATTTGATATATACAGCCCTTTCACTGGGACTTTGCTCCCCCCTCCTCTGCCAACAGCTGGACAAAAAGCAGAGATTGCACCTATTTATCAGTGTCACTCGCTACAGACGAGCACTGGAAATTGGTGCTGGGGGAGCTCAGTGTTCAGAACTGCTGTGGTTTTTATTACTACGACATTTGTTTGACAAGTTCCATGCAGATTATGATCCTCATTAAATTGTGTTGTTTTTGAGGATAAAATGATTTTTACCCCTGTTTTGGTTCACTCTTCTCACTCTCATAGAATTTTGGCTGCAACACCCAGCTGTTTTCAGGGAGGGGAAAGCTTATTAGAAAGCCATTGCAAACTATGGGCTCAGCACCAAACAGCAGACAGACACAGAGACTGGCTGGTGAAAGTGGAGCTTTAGCAGCCAAAGAGTCAGATATTTCCCTCAGGAGCTGGTGGAGACCTACTGTTAAACAGAGCTAACTGGGTGAATATTAGACTTAACATAGCCAGAAACATGACTCTAAATTAATGATTATGCTGATCCCAATTTGATGGATGTGTAAATAAGCAATAACAAACCACTTCAGGTAACTTATGAGCAGTCTTGTCAGTTACTTTTACAGTAGGGGGACATAATTTAAAAGTGTCACTCTGTGATCAGTGAATTCTTAATTAATATGTGACAAACTGCCAGTGGTTCCTACTCTAGCCAGCTGCAGTTTAACATAATTTTATAATAGTTGCCCATCATTAGATAGCAAAACACTATGGGAACAAACAGCTCCAGTTATATAACCAGACAGCTCTGATGGCCTGTTATCATGAGAAAATTGAATGGTTTTGATTTGTCTCGTGGCCACAGAATAATTGCGTGATAAATAACAGCAAGATTGATGCACCACGGTGGGGGGTTTCTGGGGTAAACTGACACTGACTCACAGAAGGAAGATTACCCTGTCTATTGTGGTTTCTCTTTGGTCGCTCAAGCATATTGGTCTGGTCCAATTCACTGATGTCACAGCAGGTGTTTCCCCATCAGCTGCCAAAGGCAAAACATCTCCAGCAATATCACTGATTGGGAGGTGGCCAGAACTGCAATACGCTTGGAACCAAATGGCCACCAGCACTAGTTCAAGCAGTGGCTGTGGACACTGGCTCCAAAACATTGCAGCCTGTTGAAATAAATGCTCCACTTTTTTTCCATTATGACCTCAATAGCTACTTTTTCTTTTTCTTATTGATTTGAGCGCAAGGCACTGATCTTTAATTTGCTGGTAGTGTGTGCTGTTTATGGATTTGTTTTGATGTAGTTCTTTATACTATATGCGGTTTATTATGATGTGTCAACAACAAACTGCTCTAACCTCATAGATCCTACTGGAATTAAGAAAGGTGTTTGTATTTTAGGCCACTGACAAAGACACTGGGAATTACAGCGCCATGGCATACCGCCTGATTATCCCACCCGCAACAGAGGGCCAGGACAGCTTTGTCATCGAGACTTACACGGGTATTGTCAAGTCGGCCATCATGTTTCGAAACATGCGCAGGTCCTACTTCAAGTTTGAAGTTATTGCCACAGATAACTATGGAAAAGGTCTCAGCAGCAGTGCCCAGGTGGTGGTGAGTATCCAGTAGCTTGCATTTTTAGTGTATATGCATGTTTGCAAATATGAATGAAATGCTGTATATGCTGTACATACTGTACATGCACTTGATATGTGCACGCTCTCTGTTAGTTCTTGACCTACAGGTAACATGCACACCATGCTGATTCCACATTGTGTGTGGTTTCCACAGCCTGGTATCACTGCAGTGAACCATGTTTGAAGGATGAAATGGGTTTGCAATGTCACCTGTCTACCATTTATTTATACAAAGTAGTTCTTTTTAAAGGAGTATTTCATATATCAAAGTTAATTTAGTAGACACAATGTAGTGCTGCACAGTCTGTGAAGAGTGTGTATAATGTTTTACATTTAACTGAGAGATATGTAGATTTAGAAAGTCAGCATTATCCTGTAAACTATGCATGTGGAGTTGTAAATACTAGGCAGGGTATAATTGAAGATGCTGTCAAATTGCACTATGGGAAGTGTAGTATTCAGTGTTTTGGAGCTAGAATCATACAAGTGAGCCTCTGCCGCATGGATTTTTACTATTCTATTTTCTCTCTTAAGTCCCACTACTTTATGAAAGTGTAACAGATCAAATCACTCGAGTACCCTGTTTGTTTTATAGCATAACTTTTATGAGAATGACTAGAGCTATAGGCATAAATGGCCATTTGAACAATAACTCTGTCAATCTATCAAAATATGCCGGCCATGAAGAAGAACCACAAACTGTGAGCGAGTCACTGAAGCCTCAGCTCTTTTTTTGTTTGTTTGTTTTTCCTAATCTGTTTATTGAGCCAAGATGATAATGATTTTTTTTTTCTTGTTAACTCGGTGCTAAATGTTTTGGTTCCTGTTTACTGAATTATTGACAGTGGGTAGGCTACAGGACGCTCAGCATGTGGCCTCTCTGAAAATGTACTTTTCCGCCATGTGTATTAACTGTGTAAACATTGTGTACATCCCTTTGTGTCCATGTGTCTGTTTGTGGAAATGTGCTTCTTGGCTCTGTGCACTTTTCTTTTTTTCCACACACCCACTGTGATTGGGCTCAGCTTTGCCTCCAGTTCAATGCTTATCTTTCCTGACTGTGGGCAGGCTTATTTCTCATTTCAGTGATATATGCCTGGCTAACAAGCCTCTAACGAGACAGAAGGAAGGTCCAGGACATTGCCTGGATATGGGAGAGCGGCGAGTGCTTAACCGTGGTCCTCGTTAATTTTCAAGGGGAAACCTAATTTCCCAGGAGCCGCGTGGGAGATTTGCCTTCAGAGCACAGAGACTGTTGCCTATGCACTTAACCATGGCATCAGAATTAGGTGCTGTTAAGTTTGCCATGTGGCGCCAATACAAGCAAGCATTTAGTGTCTCATTTGGTCCACCAAAAGAAGCATTTGAATGCATGAACCAGACTCACAGTATGACACATGAATAATTGGCGTAACAATTATTTCTCTATTTCTACTTTCTTTTGAACCTCTTGGCCCTTTTTTTTCTCCTCCTCTCTCTTTCAGGTTTCTGTGGTCAATGCACTGGACATGCAAGTTGTTGTGTCCACTGTCCCGCCCACTTTAGTGGAAGAGAATAAGGAGCAGCTCATTAGGTAAAACATTTAACATAACTGAAACATGAAAGTAAAACTATATCAAATTTGAAGAAACCAATATCAGTTTTACTAGCAGTATATGTTTATTTGTATATTAAGCAAGCTACTGTTTAATAATGTGGAAAAAAAGAAGTATTATTTCCAATATATTTCTTTCCCCACAAATATTAATTTTATTGATTTCCTGGATATTTTTTATACACTTGAAAATTGCATTTTTTTGTGCAGTGCTATGTTGTGAGCTCTACTTGGTTTAAGGCAGCATCAAAACTCTGATATAAAATTGTTTCTGAAGGACTGGAGTGATGTGTACACTGTGATTCAGCTGTGCAAAACAACTATTGAAAATAAACGCAGACTAATTAACCAGGTCATGGATTAGCCAATGAGGTATTTGAGTGTATTCTCTACGATCTCTTTTCCTCATCCAGATTAATTAATGATAAAGATTCATGAAACATCTTTTTGCAGCTCTTGGAACATTGTGTTCAGTGATTAGTAAATCTGAAAGGCAAATAAGTGTTAATAGTTTTCCAAAAGCTGCCCGTGTCTCTTCCACACAAGTGACACTGCTCTTTAGGTTGAAAATCACACACATTAGTCATGTTACACTCTTTGCAGTGATGTCATTTGAGAGGTCTGCAATTTTGCACGGTATTGGTGACGATCCAGAGCCATTTTACCTGAATGCTCAAACTGTTTATCCACCTTGGCAAAGGCAGACAGCAAGGCTTTCCTTTATTGGATGTGATTTGAGGTGTGGATTTCTCCTGGCCTAAAAAGGATTATCAGAGCCATGCTTCGCCAAGAGTCCAGCATGGAGAAGCAAACTGCTGCCCAATGGGCCAATCATTGCCAGAGTGGAGTACTTAAGATTGGAGGCTTTCATTTTGCCTTGGGCAGAGAGTTGCAAGTAACAGTTTAAACTAATGTGAACCTGGGTTTTGGCTTGTATAAGTCTAGACACTAGCTCTGTTAGTATTTACACCCTAATTACTTTTTTATGTAGGTTTGACTTGTGATTTTGTGATATTTTCAGCATTCTTGAGCGCTATGTCCAGGACCAGATTCCAGGTGCTAAGGTGATTGTGGAGTCTATAGGGCCACGTCGTTATGGCGATGGCTATGAACTAGAGGACTACAGCAAGTCTGACCTGATGGTGTACGCCATTGACCCCCTCACAAACAGGGCCATTTCACGCCAGGAGCTCTTCAAGTAAGTTTGTGACTTTTATTGCAAGAACTCCAGTCCACCATTTCATGCTGTGCTGTTAGTCTCTCCTTACCCTCTGTTCATACAGTGTGTCAGTAGATGCCTTAGACTCCTCTTGGCTTCCTCTTCTACAGTGTCTCCACTTTTCACTACCTTTAGTTTCTAAGACCTTGACTGTCCTGCAACTGCACCAAATCTTTCAAATGTCCTGGGAAAAGGGCAGATTTAAGGAAGAAAGGTGCAGGGGGGTTTAGAGCAGAGTGAATTTCAATCAGTCCATCAGCTCATCATGTCAATACCTCAAAGGCTGTTCTGCCTGGAGATATGCCAATGATACATTTTATTCCTTTTGTTTGGGAACACAGAGATTCCTGTGTGCCCAGGGTCTGTTGGAGATTATACATAAAACACACTTTGACCAACACAGAAAAAGTGTTAACAGGACACTTTTTCATCCCATCAAAAGATAACAAGACCTTGAGCTGGCACATTAGGACAATCTTGTACTTGCCTTTATTTTTTTCAAGTTTCTTAGCCTGTCTGTCAAATCACTCAGACACCAATCTTGAAAAACCAACTCCATCAGAACACGAGTTGACAATCAATACAACACATTTATCCCCTCCACCACCATCCAGCTTATTTTCTTCTGTCTTTATTTCTCTTATCCATGGTATAATCAAATCAATATATTTGTATAGCACACCTTTGTACTAAAATAAAACACAGGGAATATAACACAAGACCTAAAAAAGAGAATCTAAGAAAAACACAAATAATTGAATAAAAACTATTGTATACTGTGAATTTTATTCTATTTACCCATCTCTTTTTTTTGGAATAAGAGTCGCACTTTCAGTTCATTGGAAATCCTCCAGTAAGATTTAGAGGTGCTTTGTGTATGTGCTCAATTAATCTACAAACATTACCTTAGTGCCTTTGACCATCAGAGGAGTCCCACAACTGTTTTTAAGTGGGGGACTGAGGCTAGAATCATGGGGAAGAGTCATAAAAACAACTTTTTTTTTCCTTTTACCAAAACTATTGACCATCATCCTTATCCTAATTTCAAAGCGGCTTGCTACATCCCTGCTTTAATAAGAATCAGCTTACTTAGAGGCATCCTTGCTGTTGTTAAACTCATTAAGGCTTTTTATGCATGCAGTGCATGTCTGAATGTTGTGGGGTAATTGCAAGTTATACATCTGACTTAGCTGTCACAGATGACAGAGTGAGAAATAGAAAAACAACATTGTGAGCAGATTTTTGCATTATAAAGTGCCCTTGTGCCACCTTAAATGTAGTGCACTCTACCATTTGAGCTCTCTAGAGAATAGTTTGTCAGAGAGGTCAGTTAGTAACCTTCAGCTTCACCCATTTATTCACCTATAGAAAAACAAAGATGACAGTAATTGGATGTGGCATTCTGCTCACTCTTTGCAAAGCAGAATGTTAGACAGTCAGATTGTAGCAACTGGTTATTGTTAGAAAATCACACTGAAACAACAGTGGGTGGATTGCTTGTATTCATATGCATTTCACTACAATATTGATGCTAATTCTCCTGCAGGGTGTAATTGAAACACTGTGGAGATGTGAATCAACCTGTTTTTGTAGATAGTTCAAAATATTTTGACTTTTTTAAGACTATTTTTAGAATTCCTTTTGACAAATCAGTTTAACTTAAAAATATATTTCTATGACCAGTATGCCAGTGCTTTCATATCATTCATAATGTGATAATCTAAATGATCAGATACCGCTAACTTTGAAATGATAATTTGGGTTCATATTCTCTAATCGGGTCATCACTACAAGCAACCTCTTTCATATTGTCACTGTTTTCACCTTACCCTTGGATACATTTTTATAGAAAATAGTGATTTTGGCCACTTAAAGAGCTTGTACGAGTGCTTTGCGATTTGCATACTCTCATATGCACACTGATTCCAGTGGCTTAGTGCTGCTAGAAAGCCATTTCTTTTCCTGCTGCCATTATGTGCTGTAAATCACAGATTCCTCGATGGGAATGTGCTGGACATCAACAAGGAATTCCAGCCGTACTTGGGTGAAGGTGGCCGCATCCTCGAGATCCGTTCTCCAGACATTGTGGCCACTGTGAAGAAGGCAGCCCAGGCTGTGGGCTACACGGAGGGAGCTCTCCTGGCCCTGGCCATTATCATCATCCTGTGCTGCATCCCTGCCATCCTCATCGTCATGGTCACCTACAGAGAGTGAGTACTTTCACATCAGTGATAATCACTGGCTTCTGTCATCTATTATTCATCTATAACTGGTTGTCAGATAATTAACAAGGAAATATATTTTAATTAAGCAGACCGTTGTCTTGGGTGCTATTGTGTTGTGCTCAGTTTTATCTAAAGGGTTTGCTCCTCACAGGAAATCAGATATTTATTGTGGAATATTAACCACTGTTTACATCCTGTGCCCTGTGGCCTGTTATAATAGAGAAAAGCCACAAATGGCATTGTTTAAAAGTATATTTGTCAAGTATTTAAGATAAAGCATGAGGACTTCTTGCTTTGTTGCTGCCTTTTTGTGTCTCTCTCTCATCAGACATGCTGACTGCGCACTCTGCTGGGCTAATCTCCCTGCTCATGCTCTGTGAAAGCAGATTAATTAGCACTCATTTCTGACAAATCTCTGCAGCCAATTGTAACCGTCACTGTGCATCTTCACACCACTTAGTCATTTCTGCCTGACACACACATAGAGCAAACACAGTGCTCTCTCTGTCATTCCATCACTATCTCTCTTGTTAACACGCACACGCTGAAGTTTACAAAAATATGATGCTTATTGTTTAAAGCATCATTCAGATCGGTAAGGTAATTGAACTCTTAGTTGGCAGGAGTCCGGTTCTTATACCTGTAAAGTGTTCCATAAACAGTGATGTTTGGTAAATGTTTATTCAGGGCAGATGGGTGAAGTAGTTGTCCATATGCAAATTCACAGACCAAACACACAGTAGAAAGCTGTTGATGGTGACATTAGATGTAACACAAACTGCCATGGCAGATGGCGTTTTGTTGGTGGCGACATTACTTTGGTAAAAATAAATGATTTTTCTCATTGCAATTTGTCAACATAATTCACTGCTGCTTAAATTTGGGAATGAATGTAATGTTTAAAATATGAATCTGTTTATTCATGCGGAATAATTGAATTTTGTTGTGAATATGTAATGGTGAGATGAAGCATAGAAGATTAACAAAAAGCAGTGGCTACTTTGGCATGTAGCCCCGCAGTCAGTGCTGTAGGCTAGAGGGCTTCCTATTTTGCATAGAAATTGGAAAGAACATACAGTTTTTTTTACCTCTTTCTCCTGTTCTGTTTTTAAATAGTTAAAGATAATATGATAAAAGGTCTTTTGTTGTTTGAGACACCCCTGCATTAAAATTATGTGGAGTTTGTGTCAAATCATGCACTTATAAATCCCCCATTGCTCTCTTCTCCTTTTTCTCTGCATCCAAATCTATCACCAGGTTCAAAGAGTAAGTAATTTTTCTTTGTTTTCACTCTGTTATTATGCAGCGTGTGTCTGTGAAGTACAGTATTTCACATCTTCATTATTCATTAGTTATCTAAAGATTGGCTGAATGTGTGAAGATGATGCTAGCTAATGTCACCTTTTTAAAATGTCTGGATTCTAATTAAATGAAGCAACAGTAATTCATCTAGTACTGTAGGTTACAGAATGAATGTTTAATTTAGCTAAACTGTTTCTCTTCATGTGGAAAAACCAATGAAACTGAAATGGAAATTCAACCTAAAGTCGATAAGACTCATAGTTCTAACCTAATATCCTCTCATTCAACTCTGACATTACACTCATCATGTGTTAAAAAAACATGATTAATTAATTCACTTAATTGAGATTTTATCCATAAGTGATTCCCTGGGCTTCTGCTCATGTTTTAACCAGACAGGTCATTCTAGACTACATTAAATGTGAAAGAAATGAAGACCAGTATTGTGGGTTGATTTTTCTTTGTATATTGTGAATGAGTTGTTCTTTTCTTCATGTGTTTTGCACTTGAACTAGGAACACATATCTTTGTGACTGTAAATGTTAACGCTTTACGCAGGCGACAGGCAGAGTGTGCCAAAACTGCCAGGATTCAAATGGCTTTACCACCAGGGGGGAAAGCACCTGCAGCCGGTGCTCCCAGTGTCAACCTCTATGAAGAGCTGGGCGATAGCAGCATGTGAGTCAACCCTGACCCTTTGTTATCCTTTGTTTTCTTTCATCCCACCCATTCTCGTGATCAGGAGGTGCCGTTTGTATCTCTGCAGACTCCTTCCTTTGAATTTCAGATCCAAAGTCAGAAGTTTTCTGCTATTTGCAGCAACAGTTGTCTTCTCTCTTCTAAAATGGCCACTGGCAGCTCTACATGTTGACCTCAGAAATCTACCTGCTGCTCTAGACTCACAGTATGAGCTGCATTACTGTGTATGCCACAGCACAGCTGGTGATTGGACATTAGTGTATATGTGTGTTTCTAATGAGACTGCACATGCATTTTAAAAAAAACATCTCTCTGGATGTGTGTGTTTAAGTTCTGGAAATAACAAATACAGTTGATTGCATAATATGTCCAGTGTTGTTCCATCAGCAATATCAGATTTTGTATAAAGGAAATCTTAATGCCTGCTGATTAAATTAGTTGAATTGAAAATGTGGCCTTGTTGGGCTTACAGTTAAAGTAACACTGCTGCTGACATTACAATTGCTATTTAAACAAAGAAAAAGAAAATGGACATTTAATGGCAAGTTTTAAAGAGCGCTTGCAACAGATGCTGACCAACACTCAACAAGAAGTAGAAGCTTAGATTCTGTAGGAGGAGAAAAGCTCTCAAGAGGGTTGTATTATAGCCAAGCGTTGTTTACTTGGGGGGGTTAATTTTCCAGTCTGCACTAGGAACAAGAGGAAATGGTCCTGTAAGCAGTCCTGTTAACACACACTCCTTGTGTAAAACATGTTTGCTATACAGAAAGGTAGTATGTTTGTGTAAGGAAGTGTTTGCACATACATGCACACTGCTACGCATAACAAAGCAGTACAGTACATTATTTCTCCTGACAATGCAGAAACTTGAAAGACCCTTAAGGTACTTCATCCATATCTTTTTGGTTAACACTGCTGACATTTCTGCTTTAGTATTCTTACCATCTGTCTGTGTTTCCATCTCCTCCATCATTTCTCTTCCCTGTCTCTCTCTGGATTCAGACTGCAGTAAGTAATCCTAAAACATGTGAGGTCTATGGATATAATTAATATAGTTTAGAAATATAACACAAGAGCCTCCCCTTGTTTTCCCTCTTGCTTATAGCTTGTGCTGAGCCAATGCAAATATTACATAGATATGATTTTGTTGTGCACTTAACCTTTGTGCTATCATGAATACCCTTGTGCGTAAATACATTTTAATAGGCAAATCCTGTTATGTTAAATGACCTTGGTGAAGTAGCAGCAGGTGGAAGGTTTTTTAGTGTTTTAACCTCAGTGAAACTTTTTTACTTGGATGTAGTCAGGAAAAAGCTGCGCTCCCTTGGTTTAGGGGCACAATACTTCAGTGGGTGTCACTGTAGTCGTCTCCTCTCTACCTTTCAATTAGACAAGCTTTTGTGTTCTCTCAGCCTTACCTTCTAATGCATCTAGTATTGGTTGATGTTGGTTATTTGTGTTATGTCTTTGGACCAAAGCCCAGTGTGTCTGTGAGCATCATAATTCTACTTTTTTCAGTATTTGATTGCATCGTATTGTAGCTTCTCTAACTTGCGCTAAAACTGAGTCATATATCAGGCTGTTTAAATCAGTAAGCCAGCTGCTTTGTTGAATTTACCTATAAACATCTGAGTAACAGGCACAATACAAAGAGTCGTAATCAATTCCGATTAAGGAACAAATAACACTTTCTGCTTTTGCCTCACCCTTTTTCCTTTGCTTCACTCACCCTTAAACTATTCATTTTCACTCTCTTCAAGTCTCTTTTTTTTCCCCTTCACTTCCACCTTTTACTGGGGCAGGGCTAAAAAGTATGCCATTGAAGAGGCTGACTACCAGAGGATTCCTAGTACCTTTGCCTGTCACACCACTACAGCCCTTGGCAACGGAGCACTGCATGTCGACTTACCCAAGTCAGAGAGCAACATGACCTTGCTCTCTGACTGCGACCCACTCACCACCCACAACCCTGTCTACAATGACAACAGTCACCTCAGCAGTCCTGATGTCTTTGCACGGGGAGAAAGTCCATCTGAAAAACAGTTCTCTCCTTCCCGTTCAGTAGCGTCAGGGCACGTACGGTCGATGCCTGCTCGCATTCACAGAGAACTGCACAGTTACAAGGCGCCAAGGAGACAAGCTCTTATGAACCCAGCCGAATGGGAGTTGCAGGTACTTCAAGCAGTCATGAGAAGCAAGCGAAGGCTGGAGAGTTCAGACACGCTTCACCTGAGTGGTGGCGAACAGACCAAATTGTCAGCCCGTGAGCAGGCCAGGCAGTTTGAGCAGCAGGCCCTCCAGGAGCAAACCCTCAAGCAAAACACAGGCTCCCAAGGTTCCCTCTCTTCCATTCTTGGCAGAGAAGGAGACAGCGATGATATGCTGGAGCTGACCCCAGAAAGCCTGCTCTCCATCATGGATTGCCCCTATAGCCCTGTGGGCAGAGATGTGCCCCCCAGCATTATCATTAATCAGGGAGATGAATCATGGCTACTGGCTAGCCAGAGACCAACTCCACCTGTTCTCAGAAAGTTCAGCTCCAGCATCTCCAACTACATAACTGCGCAGCCTTGTCAGATCACAGTAGAAATCATACCAGACCCGCCGGAAAATCCACCGCCTCCTCCTCCACAGCACCTACATTCACCTTCCCTATTCACATCTCCTCCCTCTAGTCCACCTTCACCCTCCTCTCATAAACCTCAGTATAATCCTCAGTCATCTTCCCCTCCTGTCAATAAACAACATCCTCTACCACCTGCACCGCCTCTTCCTACCCCTCTGTCACCTGCTAGCACTCGTCCAGTCGTCCAGTTTGTTCCAACTTCTTTACTGCCTATGTCCTCCCTCCGCCCTGTTTCAGAAAGAAGACACCCTTCTCCTTTCCCATCACAACCTGACATTGGCGACTATGTCCTCCCTCCGCCCTGTTTCAAAAAGAAGACACCCTCCTCCTTTCCCATCACAACCTGACATTGGGACGAGCAAAGAGCTTAAAGGGATCCTGAAAAAGATCCAGAATCTAGCTGACATAGAGAGATCTGTTGCCAACCTGTACAGCCAAGTAGACAAAAATTGCAAGGTGCCCAAAAAACCACAAGTGACTGAGGAATCAGAGGGTGCTAGCAAACCACGAAGCTCTGATCCTGATGAGCAGAGCATGCCAAACACATCCAGCTCAGCAATCCAAATCAACTCAACAACAAGTAGGAATGGTACTGAAAATGGAACGAGTCAAGTGAATATGGCAGCAGCAGATGAGCCAATTAAACTTGAACAGCTCAAATAATGCTGAGCATGTTCAGGCCACAGTGTTATGAGTCCTACTATTTGTCTCCATGCTCATTATTTCCATTTACACGTTTCCATGCCTGTTTTTTTTTTTTATTCTTTAATACTTTTTGCACAGTTGATAGTGTTTTATATCAGCTTTAGCCAAGTCAAAGGATTTTAACTGTGGGTTTTTAAGACAAAATGCTTTTTCGCTTAATACTTTGTGAGGAAAACAAAATTTATGTGCCACTTGCCAAATGTATTTAGCTCTTCTGCATTACCTAACATTATGCTTTGGGCTTTTCCCTTGAGCTCAGTTTATTTGCATGTTATAATGGTCTAAACCTTTATAAGATATCTAATAGTATATAGTATACCCCAGAGTTCACATATTAGTTACAGTAGTTCATTGTATGTTATTTAATTTTATAATCTTAACATTAACATTTTATAAATAAAACTTCACAAAGATAAGAGCATGAACATTTAAGATCATGATTTGTGCAGAATCCAGTTTAGGCAAAGAAAAAATTATGATCTTAGATCTATTTTCAAATGAGGGAAAATTATCATAACTCTTAAGAATTTACCAAATGTATGCATATTCTGTGAAATAAACCTCTGGAAGATTGGCTGCACATTTTTTGATGAAACCTATTTAGGAATTTGTTGCAGTAACTTAAGCTCACCAACAATTTTGCATTATTTTTAGCAACATTTAACAAACTACAGCATATGCAATGATGAATGAATGTGTGACTGATGTAAACCTCAGGTGTGGGACAATATGCACACATACTGAAACAAACATTACATGAAATCAAATTGGCAAATGACAGGAAATTCTCTTTATTTAAATTTGCTACAAGTGATTGCAGATGTGATAAACCTAGACACTTCTAAGTAGAAACATCTTCTAACCTTATGATGGACAAAGCATCAGGGAAAAAGTACTTTAACTGGGTTCTCCTGCAGGCTTTGTGTTGAATGAAGAGAGCCAACCTCTGGGGGACCTGTCTGTTCACGTCTGTAGAGATCCTCCCAGCTTGATAAAGTAGTCACTGTGATGTTCGGCTGCACACGGGAAAAGGCTAATTAAAGAACCAATCAATCGTTAACAAGGGCTACTGCCTTTGGGACTGTCAGCTACTGTTATCCTCTCCTTTCCTTTTCCATCCGTCTGACCTTCTGCCTGCTCCATTTGTCTGTATTTCCCTCTCTTTCACTTCCTCTCTCCTTGTAGATAGTTCTAATGCTTTACAATCCATGGCCTCTCCTTGTTAATCTTTCCTTGTGGATCTCGAGAGATTCTATTACCCTCTTAACACTCATTGCTATGCAGTCTCTGCCTGCTTTCTCTTCCTTATACTCCTGTGTTCAGGCTTTTCACTTGGTTTCTTCTCTTTCTTTCTCCCACATACCCCATCAATGTGTTTGTTTTACCCTCCATGCCCTAAGGCAAATGGCATGCCACCCTTCCAGAGCAGTGTAATATTTGATTCATTACACGTTTCCTTGATAAGCAGACTAAAGGCCTGCTAATTCTGTATTCCATGATCACTACATGGGGTAATCTCTTTTGTGACAAGGCTAGCAGCTCACATACAGTTTATTTTAACCTTAAGAGCATTCAGTTTTAATGGTATTCTTTATATTACACTGTATTTCATTTATTCATCATTGCACACTACATGCTACAGTATATTATGTACTGTTAAAGTATTATTGTTTGCTTTCTTGCAAAGAGTTTAATGTGAAGATCAACACCACTTTCATGTCTGCACAGTAAATATGATGTTAAAGCTACCAGACAGTTAGCTTAGTTTAGCACATCACAAGGAAGCTTGCATAAAAATCTGCAACAAAAACTGTAAAGTTAGTTGTTTACAAAGTGAAGATCACCCTGCTGTTGTAGGTATAATGCACAGAGTTCTTCACTATACTTCAAGTCTTGCTGTGATTCTTAGCTCACCTCCTTTTCTACATTACCTTATCACCCATCTTCTCCTCACATCTTCTCTTGTGCAAATTTTCTAAGGCTGCAGTCTGCTGGGCCATTTTTCTTGATGTTGCGTGAAGCAGCAGTAGCCAGCAGCCAAGCCAGCAGGTCATCCATCACATCCCACTCCCATCATCCACTCTGCCTGTGAGGTGTGGTCATGTGGCTCAGCCCTGTCCCCTGGTCCCTACCCATAATAACAGATTACAGCTCTCCAGAGGAAACTCACATCATTGCTTGTCCATATATCTGAGCGTGAAAGTCATCATCATTTATGGGTCCAGACAAGCTACAGTTGTATGCTTGTGAACCTGGAGATTTCAGCTGGGCTCCTCCATTGCTTGCCATTTCCCAGTGGCTTGCACTGTAGACGCACTGCTGTTGTCCTCAGAAACAGCTCTGGGATTTTGTTTGATAAGACTGATGTACTTAATTCAATATCAAAAAAAACATCTGTTGAAAAAAATGCACATTATAACCAAAGACAATTTCATTAACTTTCTTCGAGTGAGTTGTTCTTTCCTATCCTCACTTATGAAATCGTCATGATATTTTTGTATAAACACTAAATTTGTTTCATTCCAGTCTGCCCAGCCTCGTTGATATTTGTTTATTGGATCTTACTTTTCCTCCCTGTTTGGATGAGATAACAAGAGAAAAAACAGCCCACGCCAGCGTGTTGCATTGTGGCCTTAAGCGTCATTTTTAAAACTGAACAATATTTGCAACTCTGTAATTTAACACATGAAAATGCACAGTAAGTAAAGCTGCAATTTTCTCACTGGTCAGCAGAATGTAGAGGTGCTAGTCCTGTAGACTTAACATTTCACTTATCTTAAAGCACTTGAAATTTTGCTGTCACTCCATATTCATTATTTGTCTTATTTTCTCCTTTCTGCGGCACACAGCAGACGAGGCTAAAAAAAAAACCTGCTGGGATGTTTTTATTTTATTGTTGTGCCAGGACATTTTGTCACACTCAAGGTAGCTAGAGGCAGCTTAGGTCCTATTATTCTTATCTACAACTCACTTGATGGAAAACACAGAATGAGATTAAGATGAGATCCCGATTATAGGACTTCTGACACTGACATTATAGTTTAGGTTTGATTTGCAAGTCGGTTGTATTCTCCAGTGTTCCTGCCAAATAGCAGATAAGCCTTTGATGAGATTTTCTCCTCTGTTCAAAAAACCACAGTCAGTGAAACACAAAGTGACTCTGTCTGACATTAAACTCGTCTGTCACCTTCAAACAATCTGTGAGCTGTCGACATCCAGCATACACAAGACATTTTTTGTTGTTGTTACACTTTCTTACTTCTCTATGTCTTGGTTAACTCCTTTCCTTTTTTTCCTTGCTTTGTTTGCATCAATATTTCATCAGTATTTCCACATTTCTTCTCCATGGTGTAGAATCTAGACTTTGCAATAAGCATAAAAGTGGCCTGCATTTTCTGGCTTTAAATCTGACATGTGTGTGGTGAAGTCTCCCTTATGTTTGTGTCTCTCCTGACCATGCCTTCCTACCATTACTTTATCCTTCTTCTGTACTAATCTTTGGCAGCAACAGCAACTGCTGAGGCCATCTCTTCTGAGACCTGAGGTAGAAACACTCCAGCTTTTCTTAATTCACAGGGATTGTAGTCATTCTGCTGTATACTCACCCTGTATGCTGCTGCTCCTCTTCTTCTTCTGCTGTCTTCCTCTGAGGAGTGCTGAGTAATTTCTTATTTTTGCTTCTATGAAATGCAGGAACTCTCCATGGAGTCAGGCATTGACCCAGGCCAGGACTACTACACGCAGGACTACTATAATTACGACCAAGGGTGAGCATGCAGCTCACTGACTGTCTCATCCCTCATCAGTCTTATATTAATCCACTCTAATCTGGCTCATTTAAAGTGGAAAAAATGCACTGTTAGATTTATTTATCATGACCTTGCCTTCCAGCTAAAAGAACTTTCATTTCAAAGAGGTTCAGAATGAAAGGATGAGCATAACTTATGCTGCCCCTTCAACACTACACAGTCTGAGCATTTGCCCTTTCCTCTTTCATCAAATGAGATCAATTTTTCTGCCTTGAGTCAGGTACCTCAGAGACTGAAAGTTACTTCCCATGAGCTAATGGACAGAGGGTGTTTTGACTTGCCTGGTACACTGCCCATATGGTCTAAAGAAGAAAAGCATCACACTCAAAGCTGTAACAGCTGCTGAGAAATTGTTATTCGTTGAACACTACCACTCTGTGGCAGGTAAACCAGGGCCTCTCTGGGTAATTGCCCCGCAAGTGTATCAGAATAGCTTAAATCACTGAAGGAAAATCTGATATCTTAAAAAGTGTTCCTGTTGAAGTTAAGTGCTGTAGCCGCCTCTGTGCTTGTCATTATAAACTCTAATCACTGTGCCTGAATCGTACCTGCCTTCATTTGCAACTACATTAGCTGTTATTATATTTTAATCAAATGTCACAAAGTTCACTGTAAGAGCAGATATTGCCAATGAGTGTGCCATCACTGTGATCAGATGCCTTGGATCTCTTTCTGCTTGCACCGAGGGGTACACTTTTAAAGCAGTTAAGCTTTTAATCTAGCAATCACCAGACTGGGGGGGTCCTTAGAGCCACCTTCATGCTGAGAAGATGGCAGTGACACAAATTGCCATCCAACTTTTTCCTTTAGGCTCCTCGCCAATTTAATATTGTAGAGGAAGAAGAATAATCCACATGTTCACTATCAATGATCTCAACAACACAGGCCATCTACCACACTGATGCAGACTTCCCAATGGTGGATATTTTAAAATATGATTTATACGTTCAGAAATTTCAATCCACTCTGTCTCCGGGACATATTTTGTACATTGGCCACAACACTGAAATAACAAAACAACAGAAAAATGACAAAATCTCAGCTCTTTTCCTTATTTTTCTTTTTAATGACAGCTGGTGAAAAATAAAACCGTACATTCTGCCAATGATGAGCACCAGGTGGCCAGACATGTTTGGGAACTAAAACAGCAATGCACTGGAGAAGAGTTGCGCAACCTGGTTTTATTCAAGTTTTTTAATGGGCTTTTAGTATTACTTATCACTCCACAGGTTCCCATTGTAGCATGTGCTTGTTTTCTTGTTATTTATTAGCCCCCTTTGATATACAGGGGCAAATATGCACCATTACTTTTCTCTACTGTGAATAATATTTTGGAAAATCTCTTTTGGTCTGTACATGTTTTTAATCTCTATTATATTATTTCATACTCACAAAGCAGGTTTTAGTAAGTGCAGCACAGCAGCAATTAGTCCACATCTGATCAATGATATTGCCAAACCTACAAAAAAAATAAGACTAATAGCAATAATGAATTGAGCCTGCTTGGTATAATACACGATGATGCAAAAGGGAGTTCTAAATAAAAAGTAGAATTACAAGCACAATAGTATTTTTTTCTCTGGCTGTGACATTAATATATAGACCTACTGAATGATTCACATTGTACTGTGCACACCAAAATCAATAGTGCAGATGATTATTTTAAAACTATGGAATAAGTTTATCATTAAATAATCTTTTAGTTTACCCACTCGGCCAGGACTATTGGCTCTGCTATTATTCTTGTCTTTTTAGCAGATTAATTTCATTGCAAACATTTTAGCTCAACTACGTTAATAAATGATAAATAAATGATGTGCCTGGCATAATAATCCACATTTTGAGGATGTGTGTGATGCTGTTTGATGTTTAAGCACCACATTTGTGGCTTTGTATCTTACAGCATGTACTGTAGATTTGTTTAAAAAAATCATTAACTCCTTATTTGTGATGCCACCTGGTTTAAAATCATTGGCAAATGGGCAGAGTAGTCCAGTGCATATCTAAGCACTGAATGTTTTGCCATATTTTGTGTGTAAATCTATTTCTCAGGCTTGGCATTCCTCAGTATGGCAGTCGGAGGAGGCTGATATCTCCCATGTATGATGAGTATGGAGAGGTGATCATGGATGATGATGGGTATTACTACAGTCCTCATGGCCCTGAGGTAGTTACTTTCCTTAGTGATAATTTTAACAATTTAAACTATTGCTCTATTCATTTGTATGATCAATCATTTATTGAAAAAGCAGTGACATTCCAACACTGTTGCTTTATCATCCCAGACGTTTGCTAAATTAAATATGACTGTCTTAGGCTCCGGGCCGAGGCAGGGGCCGAGGTGGCATGAGAGGTAGAGGTCGAGCCAAGAGAGTTGCATTTAGGGACATGCCGCCAGAGGATGAAGTTGAAGAAGCTGAGCCAGAAGAGGAGGGCCAGCCATCTAATGCTGCCCAGAAACTGACGTCTGTCATGAAACTCAGCAAATTCCTGGCAGCTGGCAAGACAGGGGAACAGCCATCTGATGCTGGTCCCTCTGGCCTATCTCCATGGAAGAAAGCCAAGATGTTCAAGATGTTTGGCGTCGGGAAGAAGGACAGGGACTATGCCAAACTGGTGTCAGCCCGTCGTATTGACAGCCAGGAGAGTCTGACTGACGGACCAGCACCTACGGGACCAATCGACAGCAAGTCTGGTAGCCGTAGCAAGCTTGGCAAAGTTTTTAAGAAAATTTCATTTGGCGACAAGTTGCAGGTCCGGAGGAAGTCGCAAGGTAGTGTGAGTCAGGGCTCAGCCACAGGTAGTGAGAGAGATGACGCATCACAAGTAGCAAGTGAGGATGAAAAGAAATCCAAAGTGTCTATTAGTGTGACAGAAAGTGAGCCAGAAGCAGGTGCAAGTGGAAGTGGTAAGGAGAAAGGCTCTGATGAGGAATCTTCAGAGAAAAGCAGTGTTGACAGAGATTATCTGAAAATAGATTTAGACAGGGATGATGCGAACGAAAGCACTGTGGACTCAGAGGAGGAGCCTGAGGAGCCAGGGGATTCTGATGAGGAGAGCAAGTCCAAATCTGAAGGAGAAGAAACTGAGAAGGATTCAGTCAGTGAGAAAGAATCTGTGACTGAAAGAGGATCAGAGTCGGACAGAGAGTCAGAGTTAGAGAAGTCATCGGCTACAGAGAAGGAGTCAGAAACGGAGAAGGAGTCAGAAACGGAGAAGGAGTCAGAAACAGAGAAGGAGTCAGAAACGGAAAAGGAGTCAGAAACGGAAAAGGAGTCAGAAACGGAGAAGGAGTCAGAGTCTGAATCAGAGAAAGAAACAGAATCCAGAACAGGCACAGCAACAGAGAAGGAATCGAGCACAGGAAGAAGTTCAGGAACTGAGGGAGACTCTGAGGAAGAGTCTGAGGAGGAAGCGGCTTCAGGGAGTATTAGAGAAAGCG